AAAAGCCCATGCGTTGCTGTAGTTTGGTTTTTGACATTTTTCAGCCATTCATCTCACCCCTCCCCTTAGGACCGGGGTGCTGATGGCTGAGGGAGCCCCGGGGTGGGGGTGGACAGCACACACCAGAGGCAAAGTGAGTGGGACCCTCCCTCCAGTCCTCTCCTGACCCCCAGGGAGGTTCAGGCCTCTCCAGGGGTCTTGTGACCAGTTCTGCTGCTGCCCGGCCCTGAGACCTTTTGTGTAGTGGGTGTGCTGAGGGCTCTGGGACCACCCGGCGGCTTAGTGGGAACCAGCTCCCACCCCCCGCCCTGGTGTGTGGCCAGGAGCATCACAGCGCCGTCAGCCTGGGTGCCCCTTGCAAAGCCAGAGGCGGGGCTGATTGTCCAGCTGCCAGCCCAGCCCAGCTGCCAGCCGTGCCCCGCCCTCCTCAGGTGCACTGCCCTTTGGTGGGGTGGTGGGTGGGGAGTGGAGGGGTGTGCCCAGTCGGAAACAGTGTTGCTTGTGTCTGCCCCTTACCTGTCAGCAGCTTCCAGACTGCCTGGGTTCAGAGCCCCTGTAGGCCCCACCCTGAGCTTCCTCAGCCTCAGTTAACCCTCTGCGTACCACGCGGTTTGAAATCCGAATCCTGGCCTGATCTAGCATCTTCCACCTGAGATCCTCTCAGTTCCCGCTTCCCCCCTTCCCCAGGGGCCCCAACCCCTGTCTCTCTCGAGGCATCAGGCACACCTGGCCATCACCGGCCGACCACCTGGCAGCTCAACGAGCAGGGCTGGGCACCAGAGAGAGAAGCCAAGCAGCATTCTCGGGGCCCCAGGGGCAGGACCCTCCTGTCCATACTGACCCACCACACGTGGGGCTGGGCACGCAGGGAGGCTCTTGAAACAATGGCTCAAAGAACCAGAGGGTGAAGTAGACCGGCTTGTTGCCTCCAGGGGGCTGCCCCGGCCCCACAGAGGCTACAGCCGGGTCCTACGGCAGGACCAGAGTCTCTGGAGACCGTGGCCCCCGAGTCCCCCCCAGGTCTCCTGTGCACTTCCGTTTTCAGTGGGTATTTTTAGCTGGGTGTAAACAGTTACTGAAGGCTCCCACGCCCCACTGGGCAGTGGAGTTTTGGCGAGGAGGGCAGGGCAGGAGCCCCTTGACCTACTCTGGCCCTCAGCACGTGCTTGGCTCCGGGGTCTGCAGCTGCCCCAGAGCAGGAAGAGGGTAGTTTCTGGGCTTGCCCCTTCCCTGCCAGCCTGGGCTCCCGAGAAAGCCTGCCTGAGGCTGTGGCCACTGACCTCAGAGCTTGGGCACAATGCCCAGCCTGTTCCCGGGACCCCAGCACAAGGGCTCCCGAGAGCAGGGTTTGGGACAGGAAGTCGGAATGAAAGCCCCCTGTCCCCCAGCTCTGTGGGGTGGGGTGGCAGCTGCTGTCCCTTTGGGGTTAAATATAGTCCTTGTCGGTTATGGGACCACAGCGTGGTGCAGCCAGCCTAGCTTCCCCCTGTTGGTTGTTGGTTCATTCATTCATTCAGTGCTCACTCACTGACCAGCCGCTCTGGGCCTGGCCCCTGCTAGGACATGAGTCAGCCCAGCTTTACTCCTGCGGGGCTCCCAGGCCAAGGTCGGGGAGGTTCTCACTGGACCATGAGACGTGCATGAGAGGTTCTGGAGGCCCGGAGCAGCCAGCCACCATAGCCAGGTGACCATGGAAGACTCCTGGCATGAGTCAAGTTTCAAAAAGTTATTTATTTCCTTCCTGATCTTAATTTTTGCTCTTTTTCTTGTTGTTTAATTCACTAAGTCATGTCTGACTTTTTTTCGACCCCATGGACTGTAGTCCGCCAGGCTCCTTTGTTCATGGGATTTAGATTTCCCAGGCAAGAATACTGGAGTGGGTTGCCATTTCCTCCACCAGGGGATCTTCCCGACCCAGGGGTTGGACCATATCTCTTGTGTTTCCTGTACTGGCAGGTGGATTCTTTACCACTGAGCCACCTGGGAAACTCAAGTCTTAATTTTTAGGGGGGAGGTAATAGATACATGGGTTTCCCTTGTGGCTCAGCTGGTAAAGAATTCGCCTGCAATGCGGGAGACCTGGGTTCAATCCCTGGGTTCGGAAGATCCCCTGGAGAAGGGAAAGGCTACCCACTCCAGTATTCTGGCCTGGAGAATTCTGTGGGCTGTGTATCCACGGGGTTGCAAAGAGTCAAACAGGACAGACTGAGTGCCTTTCACTCACTCAATAGATACATGTTGTTAAAAAAACAATTTAAAGAACAGAACAGCAGATATACAATGAAAAGGAAGTTGCCCTGAACTTGATCCTCACTCCTCCTTCCCCCTCCCAGAGATAGATAATCTCTGTTATCAGCTTCTTTTGTCTTTTAGTGATAATCTGCATTTCTGAGGTTGGAGATGAAGGGTATATCCTTTGGAAAAACAAGAATTGTAATATACCATGGATGATATTCTGCACCTTGCTTTTTTTTTTTTTCCCCCAGTCTTTGAGTTTTTCAGACCTACCAAAAAGCTGAAATAATAGTATAATAAATACCCATATATGGACTTCCCTGGTGGCTCAGGTGGAAAAAGAATCTGCCTGCAGTGCAGGAGACCCAGGTTCAGTCCCTGGGTAGGGAAGATCCCCTGGAGGGTGTGGCAACCCACTCCAGTTTTCTTCCCTGGAGAATCCCATGGATAAAGGAGCCTGGCAGGCTACAGTTCATGGGGTCGCAGAGAATCAGACACAACTGAAGTGGCTTAGCACACACACATAAATACCCATGTATACTTTACCCAGATTCACCGGTTTTTAACATTTTGCCACATTTGCTTTATCTCTTCTTTTGTGTACTAGACATATGTGTATACTTTTTTTTTTGCCGATGTGAGTGTGAGTTTGCAGGCATCATACCTTCCTCTTCTAAGTACTTTAGCACAGATCTATTATATAATCACAGTACCATGATCACACAGTTAAGAAAATTAACATTAATTCCATCATATTATCTAACGTTTTCATTTTTCGAGGTTGTCCCCAAGTGAACTTTATAGCTATTTTTTTTCCTCTGATCCAGAATCTGATTCAGAATCACTCATTGAGCCTTGCTGTCGGGTGTCTTTTCTTTCTTTTTCAGCTTTATTGAGATATAATTGCTACTTAGTGTATGTGGATTTAAGTAGTGTGCAGTGTGAGGATTTGATACACATGCATATTATGACACGATTACCACAGTAAGGTCGCCTAACGCGTCCCTCACCTCCCATAATTACCATTTTGTTGTTGTGTCGTGTTTCTTTACTGTCCTGCCTAATCCAGAGCATTCCCTAGCCTGCGCTTGTTTGTTTCGTCTTTAATGACTTTGCCTCAAGCCAGGCCGGGTCTTTGGGCTCCCTGAGTGGAGTCGGGTTCAGCCGCCCTGCGCCCGTGGCACTGAGGATGTTGTGCCCTCCTCTGGGCAGGAGGCACTCTGTATGCCCCTCTCGTCATTGGTGCTGCTTAATTTGATCACTTGGTGAACAAGGCGTTGACCACATCTCACTGTGGGGCAAGTGCTGTTCTCTCTGGTTAATCTGGAGCGTGGTCCTCAAATGCCACGTCACTGTCCTGTACCCCTAGCAACATGTCCTTCATGACTTGAGCTGGTTATTTGCCATTTCTGCTTAGTCTGTCATGGCAAGGTTTCTGTTTCAACACCTTGAGGTCCGTCTTGGCCCCATTCAAGCTGCCCCTTTTCCCTTTTGGGGATACCTGGTCGTTTTATTTACTTGGTTCCTTATTAATGGACATAAAATTTGTCTCCCAGCCTCTTGCTACACCAAACAGTGCTGCAGGGACTGTCCTACTACATTTTTTATGGGCACCTGTGTAACCCCAAATGTTGAGTGGAAGCTCCTTGGGTAAAGAATGGGGAGGGGTGGAGAGGGAATGTCGAGACAGGGAGGCAGAGTCCTAGGAGCTGTAGGTGATAAAGGGATCTGGCTCATGTGCTGGAGAGCTAGTGAGTATCAGAAAGCTCAAGGGACTTCCCCAAGGTCACACAGCAAGTTGGTGACAGAGCAGGAACCGGACTGAGAGCCCATGACTCCCGGGACACTGTTCCTGCACTTCTTCACAAAGCAACCTGAAACAAGGTTTGGATAACCCCGGCAGGGCCCCTCTGACCAAGGCCAGACTAGAGGCCACAGTTTTTAGTGGCCCCTCTCAGCCGCTGACTCTTGGCCTCTGACCTGGAGGGGGATAGCCCATCTGGACCCTCAGGGCCCTAAGGACAGGGCCGTCCTGGCCTCATGACTTGGCCAGGGAGGAGCCATCAGAAAGTATCTGCAGCTCCCGCCAGCAGGATTTCTGTGTGCAGAAAGCAGGCTTCAGAGCAGCCCTGGAAGCTGCAAGACTGTCACCAGTCCATTGTACAGATGGGAAAACTGAGTCCTGAAGCCGTAGCCAGTAGAGCAAGGGGAAGGCTAGCTCATAACTCTCCTTTTCTGATCTGTCCTCTCCAAACCCAGACCCTCGAGGAATCCCCCTGACCTCTCTGGGCTCTCCCCTCCCCTGAGCACTGCTCACTTCTCCCTCTTCCCTTGCACTCTCTTCTCCAGGCCAGGGTGGGCCCAGCCTGCCGGCAGTCCTGTAAACATGTGCGGGCACATTAGGCAGAGGCACCAGGCGTGGGGGTGGGATGGCCTGCTGGCTCAGGCCTCTGACTCCTGTGTGAGGCCGGATGCTCACTGGAGGTGTAGCCTCAGGTAAGGCCACTTGCCTCTTGGCCTAGCTCGGCACCCTCACCTGTAAAATGGGAATAACAATAGCCTCTCTCTTAGTTATTGGAGGATTTGATGAGCCATAATGTGCCATGGACAGCCTGGCAAGGAGTAAGTGCTCAGCCAACATGGCCTATTATTATTTTTATTATTATCCTCAAGTCGGTGGGGAGGCGGCAGCGGCAGCTGCAGGCCGGGGAGAGAGTGTTTGCAAACTGACAGCTGAGAGGGTGACTAACGGTGCCTCAGCCTCCGCCCTCCGTGGAGGGAGGGGGAGACGTGGGGGTGCAGAGAGCTGGCAGAGCCCCTCTGCAGAAGGGCTTGCAGGTTGAGGACCCAACCAACCACAGAGCGACCCCTATTCAAGTTCCAGACCATCACCCCTAACTAGTGGTGTGCCTTAGGGCAAGTTGTTGCAACCTCCTGAGCCTCGGTTTCCATTTCTATGAAATGGGGGCAAGAGGAGCTCGTGGCTCCCACAGGTGGTTCTCGGGAGCTGGAATTTGCTTCCTATACTCATGGTGGCTCCGTCGGGTCAGTGTGTGTGTGTCTAGGGGGATCTGGTCTCCCTGCCCAGATGGCAGAGGCTGCCGCACTGGCCTTGGGACAGGAAGCACTGTGTGTTCCGGGAGGAAGGGAAGCCCTTCATCCCCAGGGGCAGGGGGTTGATGCTAGACACTTCCAAGTCTGGGGGCTCATTCCACTCCCTCCATAGCCTGCTTGCGGGGTGTCCCTGTCCCGCCTTCAGAGTGTGAGATCGGAGGATCAGAAGGGTTGAGTGTCTTGCCCGTTGTGTACTGTCAGAGCCCGCTCTGCCTGACCCTAGCCCCAGGAGCAGGGCCTGGAAGCAGTGGTGGTGGTTCCCCCCGGCTCCTTCTGGTTGCCCAGACCACACGCCCCCCCTGCTCAGGCCCCAGGTCCCATGGCCCTCGGAAGCCAAGCTTGTCTCTTCCCCTGGCATTTGAAGCCCCACATCCCTGTAGGGTCTGTGTCCTCCCGTGAGCCCAGTACTCACCGTCCTCTGCAGTGGATGACGGGGCTCTCAGACCATAGGATCTGTTGCCCACCCTCCCTCAGCATGGGCTTCCAGCCAGAGTGCCCCTGTCTTCCCAAGCCCTGCAACCTTCCAGGCTCATCTCGAGCACTCCCTCCTCCAGGAGGCCCACCTAAGCGCTACAGTCCTCACTCCTTTCACACCCCGAGGCACTTGCATTTAAACGTTATCTTCCACTGCTTGTGCATGTCAGCCAGGCCCCAGACCTTGTCCATCATATGAATGAGCCTGGGAACAAGGCACGTGGAAGAGTTTCTCTTCTGGCATACCATAGGCATGGGAGAGTCACTGGCCCTGTCTAAGCCTCAGATTCCTCATCTGTCAGCAAAGAACAGTAGTCCCATCCCTCTGCTTCCTGAGACAGGTCCACGGCGGCTCTGGGCTGTGTGTAGGAAAATGATGGTTGTAGAGGGTGTGCTGAGCTGGGGCCACAGAGAGTATGTGTGCAGGACGAGGCTGATTTGCTGCTCTGGGGCATCAGGTTGGCTGGGGTAGCTTTCTTGGTGGAGTCCACTGTATTGAAGTCAGCGTGTACACCAGAAAGTACACCCATCACAGGGTACAGCTCGCTGAGTTGCCAGAGTTGAACTTGCCCCCTTCCAGTCAGCTAGCTGCCTCCTCCGAGGGCTCCATCCTGCACTGGGAATCCCCCGATTCTGAACCTGATACAAGTGGGATCACATGGCGTGTGTGCTTCCTGCCTGGCATCTTGGTTAGCATGACGCCTAGAGACGCGTCAGTGTTGGTTCATGGTGGTAGTTCATTCACGTGTGCTGCTGTCGGTGTTCTGCGAGCATACCCAGCTTATCTGTCTCACTCCCGGTGAGCATCTGGGCGGTCCCCAGTGTGCACTTTTCAGACCCGGCTACCGCGCGCTCTCCTGGGCCTGTCTCAGCAGCACCTGCCCTGTCATCTCTCGGGTGTGCGGGAAGTGTGGTGGCCAGGCCATGGAGCTGGCTTACATTTGACCTCAGAGATACTGCCTGGGCGAGTTTTTATAGGTGACAGAACTAAGAGACCCGCAGAGGACTAGTGACTTCCCCCAAATCCCAAGCACCTTTGTCTCACAGCTGTCGTCAGTGAACACCCACAGTGGTCCCTCCCAGACCATGTAGCTAACATCCCGCCGTGGGGCTGGTAGGGCAGGTGCTGCTCACCGGCGATGATCTGTGGCTCTGTCGGTTATTCTGTGGGCTGCAAGGCCACAGTGGGCTCGGCGTTGGGGGTCCTCAGCCCTCCTCCCCTGCCCAGTGCCCCCAGACTGGAAAGGGCAGCCCTTGCCCCAGACCCCAGCTCAGAAGCCTCTGGCATCTCTTCACATTGCTATGGGGAGGGAGCAGGATCTCAGCTTCCCCTCAGTCCCCTCTTCTCCCCGCAGCTCTCATGGTACCAAGTGACAGGTGGGCCTTCCTGTGACACGGGGACGCCAGATCTTCTGAGAAGATGTCGGCAATTCAGGTACTACAGGGATGGGGGTCTGGCGTGGTGGGGGTCCCCACGCCACACCATAGGGTGCTGAGAGGAGAGGGAGTGAGAGTGCGGGTCGATGTGCTCCCCTTCTCCCCAGCCCTGGCCCTCAGCAAAGTAGAATTCAGATGGAGGCACTCAAGATGGGAGCCCAGGGGGTGAAACTCAGCTGGCAGGCACCCAGCACTCTTTGGAGGAGGGGCACCTCACCCAGGCTCATAGAGGCTAGGCGAGAGGCTGTGACCTTGCAGGCGTGCAGGCAGGTGGGTGGGGGTTGCCCTGGGCTGCAACCGCCCACCTGTCGCCTGCCCTGCAGGCCGCCTGGCCATCCGGTACAGAATGTATTGCCAAGTACAACTTTCACGGCACTGCTGAGCAAGACCTTCCTTTCTGCAAAGGAGACGTGCTCACCATTGTGGCTGTCACCAAGGTAACCAGGGACCTCACACCCCCACCCACCACCCACCTCTGGGTTTTGGCTCCTCTGCAGGGGTGGGTGAGCCTGAGAAGTGTCTGGGCTCCCCTCTCCCCAGGACCCCAACTGGTACAAAGCCAAGAACAAGGTGGGCCGTGAGGGCATCATCCCAGCCAACTATGTCCAGAAGCGGGAGGGTGTGAAGGCAGGCACCAAGCTCAGCCTCATGCCGTGAGTACCTCCGAGGAGCGGTCCTCCAGTCTGGGACGGAGGAGGACGGGAGCCCTGAGTCCCCTGGAAGAGAGTCAGGAAAGCAGGGAGGCAGGAGTAAGAGCTAGGATGTCCGTGAGGGCCTCTTGAGACAAGAAGGGCGTGGGTGCGGACCTCTCGAGACAAGAAGGGCGTGGGTGCAGACCTCAGAGGAGATGAAGGGCGGAAAGCAGAGGATGAGGGCCTCAGCGCCTGTCCAAGCCACGAACCCTGGGGAGGCGCCAGCCAGAGGGAGGGCCTCTGGGAAGTGGAGCCTGGCACTGCCCTTGGGCTGCCACGACCCCAGGCCTGGCCTCCCTGCAGCTGGTTCCACGGCAAGATCACGCGGGAGCAGGCAGAGCGGCTCCTATGCCCACCAGAGACGGGTCTGTTCCTGGTGCGGGAGAGCACCAACTACCCCGGGGACTACACGCTGTGCGTGAGCTGTGACGGCAAGGTGGAGCACTACCGCATCATGTACCACGCCAGCAAGCTCAGCATCGATGAAGAGGTCTACTTTGAGAACCTCATGCAGCTGGTGGAGGTGAGCAGGGCCCCTGGGCCGGCTGGGTTCTGGCTGCAGCCCCACCGCCACTGGCGGGGTGACCTTGGGCAGGTCCCGCGGCCTCGGCGAGCCTGCCTTTCCCCTGCCTCCGTAGAGCCCCTGTTGTGTGCCAGGGTTGACCTCTGACTCCACAATGCCTCCACATGGAGATGGCAACCCAGTATGTAGGCCAGGAAACAAAGGTTCAGAGCAGTTAAGGGGCCTGCTGCAGGTCACACTGCTGTGAATTGGAGGTGCCAGGACTAGATCTGAGTCTTCTGATCCCAGAGCTAGCTTCCTTTCAGCCACTCAACTGTGCCCAACCATGTGTGTATAAGCATGTCCCCTCGAGCTCCACCTTGGTGGTCCCTGTTTCCGGCAGTTCCCAAGGCCGGCTCTGCCCCAGGCAGCCTTCAGATGCCTCCTGCACCCACCCTCAGCACTGTCCCCCGGCTGGCCTGACTTGGGGCAGGGATCCTCTGCACACCTGGCTAGAGGCTGGTATTACACTGAGTCAGGGCTGCTGGTGAGGCCAAGTGATAGCAACAGCCGGTGTCCGTCCAGCACCTGGGGTGTGGGGTGGCGTGGGAGACAGGCTGTGTGTCTGGGCCCCCCTAACCCTGCTAGAAATGGGGCACCCTCCCTAACCCAAAGCAACTCTTGACTGGGTGGGACTGGCCTCTGCTGCCCTCTGGTGGTCAGATCAGGGTGGTGCAGGGGAGCCACTGGTGGTGCACAGGGGCGGGTCCTGATGGGCTGCCCTGTGCCCTGCAGCACTACACCTCAGATGCAGACGGACTCTGTACTCGCCTCATCAAGCCAAAGGTCATGGAGGGCACTGTGGCCGCCCAGGATGAGTTCTTCCGCAGTGAGTGCCACCCCCGCCCCTCTGTTACCCACCCGCCTCCTCCCCAACCCAGGCTTCCCGGCACAACCCCCATCCCGGAGGCTCTGGAGACCTCCAGGGAACCCACATGTCATAGTCCAGCCTGCTTCTGCTGCGACCCCCGCTCTGACTTAACCCCGCCCCGTCCCTGACAACCGCCTCCTGCCCCCGTCACCTCCTACCCAGGCGGCTGGGCGCTGAACATGAAGGACCTGAAGCTGCTGCAGACCATAGGGAAGGGGGAGTTTGGAGGTGAGCCAGAGAGGGTGGGAGCCCTGGGAGGGGCTGGTGACTGTGGGGAGTCCAGGGAACAAGCCCCAGCTGTCTTCCCCCAGACGTGATGCTGGGTGACTACCGAGGGAACAAAGTTGCTGTCAAGTGCATTAAGAACGATGCCACTGCACAGGCCTTCCTGGCTGAAGCCTCTGTCATGACGTGAGTTGGGGCAGAGGGTGGGTGGGGAGGTCGCCCCGGAGCCGGGAGCTGATGGGGAGGCTTGGCAGGCTCTGACCACCCTGTCCCACCCCAGGCAACTCCGGCATAGCAACCTGGTACAGCTTCTGGGCGTGATCGTAGAGGAGAAGGGCGGGCTGTACATCGTTACTGAGTACATGGCCAAGGTGTGTGCCTGCCCCAAGCCCCCCGCCATACCCCTGGGCCCCTGCTCCCTCAGTCCCTGCTCTCCAACTGAGCTTTGAAGTCACTGGGGCTTGCTTTTGTCCTGGCTCATCATTTATTCATTGGAGGTGACCAATGGAATGACCATTCCAGGTGACCTTGGAAACGTTGTGTCACGTCGCCAAACCTCAGGTCCTCATCAGTGAAGGGAGGTAGTAACAGTTTACCTCAGAGGTTTATGAGAATTAAGAGACAGTGCATGAGAATTGCTGAGTGCAGTGTCCAGCGTGTAGGACCTGATATTCTTTCAGAAGTGATGTCCTGACCTTTCCCCTGCCCCTTCCGTCTCCTCACACCTCCCTTGAGTGTCGCCGTTTACCCAGCCCCAAGCCCCCTGAGGTCTGGAGGGCAAGTCTAACCTATGGGGCCTGTTGGTCTGTCTGTCCTGCCCCAGGGGAGTCTAGTGGATTACCTGCGGTCGCGGGGTCGCTCGGTGCTGGGCGGAGACTGTCTCCTCAAGTTCTCACTGTGAGTGAAGCAACCCTGACTGGGGGTGGGGGGCGTTGCCCTGCTACGGGACCCCTGTCTGAGGGGACGTGTGGACGGCTCACCCCCAGAGACGTCTGCGAGGCCATGGAATACCTGGAGGGCAACAACTTTGTGCACCGGGACCTGGCTGCCCGCAACGTGCTGGTGTCCGAGGACAACGTGGCCAAGGTCAGCGACTTCGGCCTCACCAAGGAGGCCTCGAGCACCCAGGACACGGGCAAGCTGCCGGTCAAGTGGACAGCCCCCGAGGCCCTAAGAGAGAAGGTGGGCGGGCTTCTCCTCCGGAACTGAGCAGTGGTGGGTGGGGTTCCTGGTCACCCCCACCCCCAGTTCCCAGGATCTGACACTGCTTCTCCCATCCACATGGCAGAAATTCTCCACCAAGTCTGATGTGTGGAGTTTCGGGATCCTTCTCTGGGAAATCTACTCTTTTGGGCGAGTGCCTTATCCAAGAATTGTGAGTGTGGGCGCTGGGGCTGAGACGGGGGCTTGGAGAAAGGGGAGGGTGGCGGCGGGGGGCCTCACTGGGCCCTGCCTCCCCCATCTGAGGCCTGGAAGCTGCAGACCTGCCCTGGGGTCCTCACAGGCGGCCCCGGGACCTGGATCTGAGACAGAACCAGGAGTGTCGTGGAGGGGGTTGCTGAGTCGGGGCCCCTCAGGGCCAGGCCCCGCACCGACTCACCCCGCCCCGCCCCCGCAGCCCCTGAAGGACGTCGTCCCGCGGGTGGAGAAGGGCTACAAGATGGACGCCCCCGACGGCTGCCCGCCTGCCGTCTACGAAGTCATGAAGAACTGCTGGCACCTGGACGCCGCCACGCGGCCCTCCTTCCTGCAGCTCCGCGAGCAGCTCGAGCACATCAAGACCCACGAGCTGCACCTGTGACTGCCGGCCTCGCCCAGGCCGAGGGCCTGTGGGGACTGAACCCGGAGAGACTGCGGACCTCGGGCCCCGCTCGCTGGGCCCAAACCCGAACTGAGCCCAGCAGGAGGCCAGTGGGTCTCTTTCCTGTCCCAGCCCACACCCCCTCTGGCCCCCGGAGACCCCGCCTAGGCCTGGCACCTTCTTCCATGGACCCACCTCTGGGGCTTTGGGAGCCCGGCCCACGGGCCCGGATGGGAGGAGGCTGAAGAGCTGGGGGGTAGATGCCCTGCCGTGGTCAGGCTCCCCCTGGCCTCCCATCTCTCGCTTTCCTAGAGTTTTATTCCTTTCCTTTTTTTGAGATTTTTTTTTTTCCGTGTGTTTATTTTTTATTATTTTTCAAGATAAGGAGAAAGAAAGTACCCAGCAAATGGGCATTTTACAAGAAGTACGAATCTTATTTTCCTGTCCTGCCCACGAGGGTTGGGGAGACCAGGCCCCTCTCTAGGGACCCATCGCCCCGGCCCTGTTCCCCACCCCGTGTCCCGTGTCCATGTCGCCTCGGTCGCCCCGTGTCTGCGCTTGACCATGTTGCACTGTTTGCATGCGCCCGAGGCAGACGTCTGTCAGGGGCTTGGAGTCCGTGTGCCGCTGCCGCCCACCCACTTGCCTTGTGAGATGGAATCGTAATAAACCACTCCATGAGGACGCCGCTGCCCGGTCTCGGCGCTTCATCCGCCGAGCCTGCCTGTCCCACCCAGCCCCCCATCCCCGTGCCATCTTGTCCATCCCCCTGTCTCTTGTGAGTGAGGCTGTGCTTGCCCTGTGAGGGGGGATGGGGTGGGGAGCACTGCGGGAAGATGTAGCTGCCGCCTTGTGTCAGCTGCACGAGCAAGTGTCCTGTGTCTGTCATGAGGGAGTTCTCACCACCCTCCTCCCCCAGCATCCCACCGCGGGGCAGGCCTGGCCCCGAGGCCGTCCTGGGCTTGGGTCCCGCCTGCCGGCATCCCAGCTGCCTCTCCTGCCATGTTGTTCAGGCCCACAGCACAGGGGGCGCTGGAGCGCAGATGTGGGAGAAAGCCAGGCGTGACGCACTGGACATGGGCTCCCCTCGGTAGGAGGCAGGATAGCCATCTCATGTCGATGAGAGGTGACCGTGACGGGGAGGCTCTGAGCTGCTGGCCGTTCTCACAGCTCCCCTGAGATGGGGCATTGCTGACCCCGCCCCACGTGTGCCCAGCCCCGTGGGGCACAGGTGGAGAAGGCAGACTGCCCTGGGTTCCGCGGGGCCAGTGGTCAGTGCAGGACCTCTGAGGGTTCACTTCCTTCACTGAGACAGGCAGCTGGTGGAGTGTCCCCTTGTCCTTGCGGCTCTGACCTGTCCTCTCCCAGCCTGCAGGACCTGAAATCCAGGCCGTTCTGACTGTACAGGACGCCTCGGGTCTGCTCCCTAGCCCACTATGGTCCGGCCCCATCACCTCCTGCAGCTCAGTGCTGCCGCCTCTTCACCTCCCCGAGTTCGTTCTCTCTGCACACAGCCAGATGCATTTTGTTAAAACCAGACCATTCATTCAACAACACACAGTTGGATCCCTGCTGTGTGGCGGGACTAGGGTTCAGCAGCGAGCGAAACAGACCCTGTGGAGTTGACAGTTGGGAAGACAATCACATAGACAAACTGATAAGTGCTATGAAAGAAACGTGTAACATGGGAATCAGACCTTATGTGTAGATCAGGGAGGGCTTCCCAGAAGAGGCAGCACATAAGCTGAGATCAAAAGGATGAATGAGAGGGTAAGGGGGTGGGTAGCAGCATTCCGAGAGGGAGGAGCCAGCAGATTCGCTGCTTCTCTGAAGACACAGGAGAGGGAAAGTCTGCTGTAGGGGTTAGCTGCAAGGTCACTGGTGACTTTAGCAAGACTCAAAACCTTGGTGGGGGTGGATTCTGGATCATGATCACAATGGCTAGAGGAGGTGCAAGGACTGCAGGAAGGTAGACAGTCTGGAGGAATCCAGCTGTAATGAAGAAAGGATTTTTAAGGCAGTAGAGGCTTAAGCAAATCTGACTGCTGAAGGGAAGGACATTTACCTCAGGATCATGTCCACATACTCTGAGAGGGAGGTGGACAGTAGAGAGGGGAGGGCATGGTAGTGATTCCCAGTGGAAGCTTGCCAAGGGTGAGGTTGGTAGCTGGAATCCAGAGCATGAGGGGCAGTGGGTCTGCGATGGGAGAGGGACCGTCGTGGTGAGACTCCGAGGAGAGGGTACCATGCAGTGGCGCTCTGGTAGACGGCTTAGCAGGTCTAGGGCAGGGGTCAGGGGTAGGGGCTCCGACCTAGAGTGTGCTGGTATCCACTCTGTGCCCAATACCAGGATGGGCTTCATGCTCCCAACCTGACTTCACTGAAAGCAGGGATCTGGGTGCCTTTTGATGATCAGCCCTCACTAACTGATCTAGAAGCCAGCTGAGGTTCAGAAACCTCCAAAGATGCCCATGGCGATGGGGTCACAAGAGGGGCCAAGCAGGCGACATAATGGAGAATTGTAACAAGTGAGAGTGAAGGGGTAAGGTCCAGCTGCTGGGGCCCTGTGGGAATGCAGGCACAGGGGACAGATATTCCACCTGGTGGCCTGAGCCCCAGTCCTTCATTACTTCACTCCCTTCACAGTTTTTAATTTCCCCCCTTTCTTCTCTCTCATCCTTTGACTGTGCTCTCATGGACCTGGGGAAACCTGCTCAGAACTCAGTTCAGTACCCAGAAATCTGGTGGGTGTTGCCACTGCCACCCAGGCCAGGGAGGCAGGGACAGAGGGAGCTTCTCAGACAGTGGGGACCACTGGGGACAGAGAGGGCGGGTAATGCTGCCAAAGGAAGGGCTCTGCCTGGACAAAGGCAGTGAGGTGAGAGGCAGTTGAGAGGCTCAAGTGTGGCCAGGGCTAAGGGGCCAAGGGATGCAATTTGGGAGCAAATGAGGCTAAAGAGAAAGCAGGGCCTAGACCCCACCTGGCTTTGCAGGCTCCATGAGGAGTATAACTTTATGCAAACATGACCAAGATCAACAGAAGGATTGGGGGCAGAGTTTGGCCAGGTCTGCATTTTAGAGAGATGATTCTGGCTGCAGTCTGGCTAGAGTGAATGGGGACAGGGAGATGGTGGGAAGGCTGACAGGCCAGGCGGGAGGTGACTGATGGAGGCCTGGGTGGGGGGACCTGGTAGGAGGTGGAGAGGAAGATGAACGCAGCTGGTGTTTTACTGAGCTGAGTTCTGCCTGTCCTTGTTCTAATGGATGCATTATCTCATCTAACCCTCCAAACAACTCTTGGAGAGAAACACTATTATTATCTCCAGTTTATAGATAAGATACATGAGGCTTGGAGAGATTAAAGCATCAGGTAACAGTTTGAGGGTGGCAGGAGCAATTGAAGAGCTTGCTGATGGCTGAGGAGAGGAAGGGGCTGTGGAAGGGCCCTGGGGACACTCCAGCCTCTGGCTTGGCAAGGTGGGTGGTGCCACCCATGACACCCCAGCCCTGGAGGAGTATGTGCTGGGGGTTGGAGAACAGTTTGGTTTGGACCTGTGGCCTGGGAGCCTTTGTGATATCCAAGCAGAAAGGTCCCCTCCAGAGTTAAATGTTTGTTTGGACCAGGAAAAGTGGCTAAAAGCAGAGATTTGGGGGTCGTGGGCACAGAGATGGTGCTTGAAGCCGTGGGTGCAGACGAGCTTGGCCAGGTAGCATGTGGAGCCTTTGGAGAGATGGGAGAGGCCAGAGAGGGACAAGAGTGACCAAGAAGCAATTCCTGGGGTGGCCAGGGACAGCAGAGAGGCAGGTGAGCCCTGGGGCAGGGTTTCTTAGACCAGGGGGAACGGAGGGGTGTCCACAGCATTTCACATTGCAGAGACCATGTTGAGCAGTGTCCACTAGGCACAGAGAATGGGCATTGTCAGGCCTTGCTGGAACAGTTTTCATGGGGTGCAGGGGTGGGGAGGGCAGGAGCTGGAAGGACTTAGGGGGTGGCAAGGAAGCAGGGCTGAAGGGAAGCCCACATTTCCACAGCTCGGCTGCGAAAAGGAAGGGGGAGAAGTAAGTGGAGGTGGTTGAGGGCTCAGTGTAGAAAAATGAAGTTCTTCTTTTAGTATGTCCTAAAATTTTCCATTTGCAGCCATGGTTTTAATTAACTTGTAGAGCTTCAGTATCTTAATTCTACTGGGGGTTTACAAAGTACAGTAAAACTTAAGCTATCCAGAATTCTTGGAGCCACTCTGGAAAACCAAAATTTATTTGGATGAAAATATTTGAGATACAGGATTTTTTTTAAGCTTTTTTTTTTTTTTTAATTCATTTGGCTGCTTCAGGCCTTCGTTGCACCATGTGGAATCTTTCATTGCAAGATGCAGGCTTCTCGAGTTGTGGCACGTGGGCTTAGTTGCCTGCAGCATGTGGAATCTTAGTTTTCTGACCAGAGATCGAACCCATGACCCCTGCATTGCTAGGTGGATTCTTAACCACTGGACCACCAAGGGGAGTCCCAGGATTTCTTATTTTTCAAAAACTTTTTTCATTATGGAAATCATCAAACATATAAAAGTAGAGATTAGAATACAAGGAACCCTCACGTCCTATTACCCAACTTTAACAGTTATCAACTCAAGGCCAATTCTCTGCCATGCACACCATGTTCCCCTCCTCCCACCCAGGTTCTAGGAGATTGGGAAGCAAATCCTAATGTTATATCAATTCATCCATAAAGCTTTAGTATATTTCTCCAGAAGACCTAAGACTTAAAAAAGAAATTCTACCACAATACCATTATTATTCCTAAAAATTCTAACAAGAATCCCTTAATCAAATATCCATTGTTCAAATTTCCCTGTCTCATTTTTCACCTTACAAGGCCCATGCGTTGCATTTATTTGCTCTCTCTTAAGACTCCCTTTCTATTTTCACATAATTTCTTTGTTGAGGAAACCAGGTTGCTTGGAGGCATGAGTGTTTGGGAATATGGGAGAGAGCTGAGAATCAAGCAGAGAGAGCAGGACAGGGAAGGATGGGGTTGGTGGGTGAGGGCCAGACAGCAGGGACAGCCATTCATGGGAAGAAGCCAGGACGAAGGGGCCCATTCCAGGCAGGGAGGAAAGTCAGAGCTGCTGAGGGTGGCTCGTCCCAGTGACCCGCTGAGGTCCTGCAGCCACTGGGACAGAAGGAAGGAGGAAGGATGGCCTGAGCCGAGGAGCAGGGGCAGAGCTCAGGTTGGCAGGAGGTCAGGCTGCCTCATCAGGCTGGAGGTAAGGGGTGGGGCGGGGCCTGAGATCAGGCCTGGAAGGAACAGGATGTCTGTGCTGGAGAGGGAGGGAGAGGACAGTGCCAAAAACCCAGGTTCTGGGCCATCCTGGCTCCTCCCCCAGTGGCCCTGTCCCAGGAGCCCCTCCCTATCCTCCCAGCTGCAAGTCCACCCTGGGGCCCGGATACTAGATCCCTTAGCAATGAGGGTGGTCCGTGGCCTGGATCCCTTGCCCTGCCTTCTCCTCCTTGTATTCCTGGACCCCCACAGCCCCGAGGGGGGCCATCTGCCTCAGCGAAGATTTGAGTACAAGCTCAGCTTCAAAGGACCAAGGCTGGCATTGCCTGGGGTTGGAATACCCTTCTGGAGCCATCACGGAGGTAAAATGTCGGGTGAGGACTAGCCATGCCCAGTGTTCTGCAGAACACTGGAGGGGCTGACCAGCTCTGGGTGGCCGTGACTCGGTGGGGAGTGGGCCTGCCGGTACAGCCACTGCCCAAGACGGGGCCAGGCCGGGGGCAGACAGTGCCACGGGCCCCAGGACCACCCCCCCCCCCCAACCTGGCTCCTGCTCCACCACCACAGCCCCACCGCTACCCATCAGCCTCAGCTTCTCTCTGCGTCTCCCCTTCTCTGCCCTGGGACTTCTCTCTCCTCTTCTCACCTCTCTTTGGAGAACCCTTCACCACCCTGCCTCATGGACCTGTGAACACACACACACATGCTAATAGGCTGAGTCTCGGACTCACAGACACAAGGCAGCTTGGATCAGCACAGACCGATACTCTGGCTCTACACGGTCAGGTTGTGGCTGTCCAGGAGACCTGGGAGCAGCCTGGAGGGAGGCATCCTCATGGCCAGCTCTTTCACCAGAGAGGGCCCCAGCCCTGTCCTGTGTGTTTCTTGGGTGGAAGCAAGCACGAGAGCATCTTAGCCCATACGTTGTATTCAGGGCCTTCCAAACCCAGACCTACAAAGAATCTGTCTTCTACTCGGTCTTGTTCTAAAAAGATTTTTGAGGACTTATATGAACCTATGCAACTGAGAGGAATTTAAATTAGGAGTGAGCCAGAAGAATGAGACATAGTGTTAGGACTGAGGCATGAAATGAGTCCGAGAACATGGTTTGCTGCCAAAATATATGCTGTGAAGCCTGTCCACTCTTCAGAGTTGAGCCATGAACCTGGTTTAGAGCCTCCTAGCAGTCAAACCGAAGAGAGAAAGCAGATCCATTGTGTATTTCTGTGTCTATGAGGTGTAATTTCTGAAAAACAGCATAATTCCTGAGACCAGAGCAAATATCCCTTTAAGAAGACAGGCCCTCTTAGCAGGGTTTTTGGGCCCAGTTCTCCCTCACAAAGACCCAGGAGGTTAACAAAGGAGGAGGCTGTTCCCCATAGCACAGAGCCTCAGGCCCAGGATGGTAGGGCCCGGACCACAGTCATTGTTCTGGGCCACGCCAAGTCTGGGGTGTTCCAGGACATATGGGGGAGCAGAGGCACATTCTTCAAGGTCGCTCAGAGATATGCTCAGTGTCCATTCACTCATTGATCCTTTTATCTGACTCACCCCCATGTCGTCTGTGCCCCACCCAGAGACACAGAGCTGAGTCAGTTTCGAGGAGACTGCAGTCTGCAGTGAGGTCCCCTGAACAATCCACCGGAGGCCCAGTGCAGAAGTGTGGCAGACATGGGCAACCTCCCCCTCCTGCATCCTAGTTCAGAGGTGGTGGTGGTGGCTCCCAAGGGCTTCAGCCCTCCTGGCCTTGCAGCCTCTGAGCCTCCCTGCCCCCAGCTCTGGCCTCTGCTGAGCAAACAGGCTGGATTAGCAGTCTCCAGGACATGCTGGCAGGGTCTGGGCCCTGGGCCAGGTTCCAGGCTGGCAGGCCGCAGGGGAGTGGAGGCAGCTGGGGCAGGGCCTCTGGTCTCCCTTCTCCATTTCCTGCCAAACCTGCCTCAGTTTCTCGCTCCTTCCTTCCCTCTCCCCCCATCCCACCCACATCAGTGGTAATTCTCAACTCACTCCATCCCTCATGGCCAGCTCCCACCTCTGCTTTCATACTTTCCCCACCTTGAGATGCCCCCTAGCTGCCCCCACCAGGAAGGCCCGCCTGTGTCTGGACATACCCATGTGTCCACAGCCTGGAGTCCTGGCCCTCTGCCTGGATCTTCTCTCAGGGTGCTCCCCTGTGTTCGTGGTCTCCAGCTTGTCCTTTCCCTCATAGGCCCCTCTTTCCTCCTCTGATAAACACAATGCTCCCATGCTCACTTGCTCAGTCGTGTCCAACTCTTTGAAACCCTGTGGACTATGGCCCTCCAGGCTCTACTCTCCATGGGATTCTCCAGGCAAGAATACTGGAGTGGGTTGCCATTCCCTTTGGACACAAATCTCTCTCATGGTGGAAATGGCTTGTACTTTGGAGTCAGAGGGAGCTGGGTTCCCATTCACGTAGTTCCTTAATTTTTCTGAGCCTCAGCTTCCTCATCTATAAAATGGGGTCTTGGGACTTCCCTGGTGGTCCTGTGGTTAAGACTCTAAGCTTCCACTGCTGGGGTCATGGGTTCGATCCCTGGTTGGGGAACTAAGATCCCCCACGCCAAGTGGCCAAAAATAGTATAATAAATAATTAAAAGATAAAATGGGGCCCTATAAAAGCAAGCTGCACAGGCTTGTAGTGAGGCTTATGTGAGAATGCAGGTAAAGAGCTCCATGTGTGTCTGGAGACTTCGCTGACCCTCCCTCCCTCTGGCAAAGACATAATCCCCACTTCTTCGATGGATTCCACTGTCTGACCAGCCAGCTTATTACTATTGGCTGTGATGTTCCTTCCTTCCTCCTCCTGGAGCCCAGCCTAGACCACTGAGAGAGAGTGATGGGGGAACAGGGGCTGGTGGGGCCCAGGCCCTGAGCTGCCCTGGCCCACAGATGCCATCCCGGGCCTGGAGGAAGTACGGCTGGCCCCATCCATGCGGAACCGGAGTGGCGCCGTGTGGAGTACAACCCCCATCCTCTTCCCTGCCTGGGAGGTGGAGATACAGATGAGGGTGACCGGGCCGGGGCGCCGGGGAGCCCAGGGCATGGTAAGTGGTCCCCATGAAAGTCCAGCAGAGGGGGTGTGTCAGAGGAGCTGGTAGTGAGCCCGGGGTCCCAGCGTCCTGCAGGGACCCCTGAGCTGAGCAGCTGCGGACCCGCAGGCCGTGTGGTACACCCAGGGCAGGGGCCAGGTAGGCCCTGTCCTGGGGGCGCCGGACTTGGGGAACGGCATTGGGATCCTCTTCGACTCCTCAGCCCAAGATCCCCAGGTGAGTGGTGGTCTCCTGCCCGTCATCCCACCCACAGCCTCACCCTCTGCCCTGTGCCCGGGTCTCAGGCTGCTTGTCACTTCCCACACAGAACAGCCCTGCCATCCATGTGCTGGCCAGAGATGGGCACACCCCCTACGAGCCTCTTGGGTAAGGGCCTGCCTGGGTTGACCCCTACCTCATTCCTGGGCTACGAGGAGCTTGGTGGTTACCCACACGGCCCACTGTGCCCTGCCCTGGCCTCTGATGGATAACCCCCCTTCCAGGGCAGTGGTCTGCTTGCTGTCCTCTCATCTGAGCTGATGACACTGCCCAGGGCCCCCTCTCACTAGGTCCCAGCTATGCCTCCTCCAGGGCCCGGGACCAGGGTTTGCTTGCTCTTCTTGGGAATTACTCCCTGGAGTCCTCAATTCACTGAAGCCAACAGCCCCAGGGCAGCGGGGGTAGTGAAATGACGCAGAGTGAGGCCTTGTGCTCAGCGTTTTCACTCCCATCATCTCATCTTGACACTCTTAAGAAGTGGGGACTATTAGGCTCCAATTACAGGTGAAGACGTTGAGCCCAGAGTGGAGAAGTGATTTGCCCCAGGTCACACAGCTGTGCCCGGAACTGAGATCTGAGGCCAGACTTGCCGGTGCAGGGTCCACGCCCTTTCCCGCACCAGCTGCCTGCGTGCCTGCCAGCCCTGTCCCTTTCTCTCCAATGACATGGCTGCCCATCCCTCCGCAGCCAGGATGTCTCCTCAGTAGCTGGGCCAGTTCGTCAGTGTCTCTTAGCAAACATCCCTCTTAGCTCATAACAATTAGAATAATTGCTAACATTTACAACCTGAGCTTACTGTACGCCAGGCACTGCGCCAAGCGCTTCACGCTCATGGCTTGGTTAACCCTCATAACAATGTTATGAGGTAGTTTCAATTAATATCCTCATTTAAAAGATGGGGGAACTCGGGTTTGGAAAGGTGAGGCAACTTGCCCAAGGTCACAGGGGCTCAGAGGGCAAACACACGCTGGGGACCTGGAGCCGACTCCTCCCCTGCTCGGTGCTTCCCCCTCTCGGCCGCAGGCGGTGGTGACGGGCTCGCTGCCGTGAGAGCGTCTGTGTGTCCAAGAGCCCAGACACACTCAGGGTGTCTCAGCACTCTTAACTCTCTGGACCAGCTGCTTCACCCCCGTGGGGAGGCCAGCTGGTCACATTGTCCTTGGATGCTAGGATGGGCCTCGTGCTGTCTGTCCTGTTATGGGCCAAGCAAGGCAGAAAGGAGAGGAAAGAGAAGCTCTACTCAGAGGGAAGCCAGTGGGAGACCGAGGAGGCGGTGGTGGGCCTGGGGGATTGTGGGTAGAAACCCCACTGTTGGTTCAGGCTGAGAACGAGGGAAGCATCCAAGGGCAGGCCTCAGCCTCTTCTGTGGATTCCAAATCCCAGCATTCTGCCAGGCAAGGCTTGCTTTCCCGCTCCACTCTCTGCTGCTGCGAGAGCAGAATACAGCAACGGAGGCTGAAGCTATACCAGTAGCAGTGGGGGCGGGTGGCACTGCAGGCCTGGGCGCACGGCCTCTGGGAACACCCCTACTGGTTAGGCCTTGGGTCCTGTGTGGCCTGGCTGGATTCCAAGTGCCCACAGGGATGGAGGCAGCCTGGTGCTGGGCTCCTGCCGCCAGGACTTCCGGAACCGGCCGTACCCCTTCAGAGCACGGATCACCTACTGGGGGCAGAGGCTGCGTGTGAGTCGTCCCTCCTGCCTTTGTGGGTCCACCGGGCAGGGAGTGCAGGTTACAGGGCTCAGAGCGTGGTGGATTCCCATGATCCCACAGACACAGCTGTGACAGCACACGCGGTCCCTGGCACACGCGGGCAACACCCATAGGGATCCCTTCTCTCCACACAGACTCCTAACTTGCCCCCAGCACATGCCTGGGAGAGCTGACACGAGCCCAGGTGTGTGAGCCCCTCCACATCACTCTGATTCCAAGCTGCCCGCCCGCCTTCCGGGTCAGGGAGCCAGTGAGTCAGATGGGGACTCTGCCCCTGCTGGGGCTGGGGGAGAGAAGTGGGCTCCCCCTGTGAGGGACTCATGGCCTTTGTGTCCCTCAGGTGTCTTTGAACAGCGGCCTCACTCCCAGCGACCCAGATGAGGTCTGTGTCGATGTGGGGCCCCTGCTTTTGGCCCCTGGAGGTTTCTTTGGGGTCTCTGCGGCCACGAGCATCCTGGCAGGTGAGGGCCTTCTGGGCAGAAGAGCAGTGCCCACTGAACACCACTTCTAAGAAGCACTAGGGTGGGGCCAGCCAGTTCCTCACTGTGGGACCCAGCAAAGCCACAAACCCTCTCCGGGCCTCTGTTACCATCCGGGGAAGGTCGTGTCTGCCTAGCAGAGTTGATGAAAGTCTCAAATGGCGTAAAACACAAGTCACTTCCATTTCAGTGTTGGCTCCACAACGGTCCCTAGCTGGGATCTGTGGGGCAAGAGGAAGAGGGTCATCCATGAGGGACATCTAGGAAATGGAGCAAAAGGATGTGGTATAATGGAGAGCCTGTGGAGGAACCCAGCCGGAGAGCAGGGTGCAAGCAGAGGAGGCGTCCTGGAATGCCAGGACTTCGGTCTTTAGACTCTAGGAGCCATGGCAGGTTTCTAAGGAGGAGAGTGACGTGGTCAGAGTCACGAGGAGGAGGAGGCAGCCCCTGTGTGGTTCTTCTGCCAGTAGCAGCCAGGCTCTGGGCCTGAGGGTATTGCTTGGCCTGTGGTCAGGGCTCCAGGTCAGGACCGTCCAGTTTTCCCATTCACTGGAGGTCCCCCTCTACTTCTCTGTTGGAGTCAATCCTCACAGCCCACCCATCTGCTTATCTGATCCTCACACCTTTCCTATGAAGAGAGGCAAGATGAGGATCAGAGCTGCTCAAAGTCACCCAGATCTCTTGCCTGCCTGGAACATAATGGAGGCCGGGGGTGAGGGCTGAGGGAGTGAGTTCCCTTCCCTTCGCTACCCTGCTTTCTAGATGACCATGACGTCCTGTCCTTCCTGACCTTCAGTCTGCGTGAGCCGGGTCCAGAGGTAATGCCGAACCTGGGCCTTCCCTGGGGGGAGGGCTGGGGGAGAAGCAGCTCAGGGATCCCTCCCCTCCCCAGCTGCTCCGCTCATGTCAGCTGTCAGACCTGTCATTCCAACCCTTATCGCTATCTGCTTGCGAAGCTCTACTCAGGCCAAGCCTTGTGCTGGGAAGTGCTGGGGGCCAGAGGTGATCCAGAGCCAGGCCCTGTCCTCAAGGAGCTGTGGAAGTACTGAGGGGTCCTAACCCGCCAGGGGAGCAGGAAGATGGCATGGCAAAGATGAGCTTGAAGGAACAGGGGGAGTGGCACAGACAAAGGCCTGAGGGAGCTGCTGGGGTCTGGGCCACAGTGGGAGAGATGGGTGTAAAGATCGGCAGTACAGCAGGGCTTGGAGGACTGGGCCTAGTGGCTGAGCTGAGGGAGAACTAGGTGTGTGTTTGTGGTGTGTGAGTGAGTGTGTGTGTGTGTGTGTGTGAATGTGTGTGTGTGGCAGAGGCACAGCAGGGCTGGGAGGACTGGGCCTGGTGGCTGAGCTGAGGGAGACCTAGGTGTGTGAGTGTGTGAGTGTGTGAGTGTGTGTGTGTGTGAGTGTGTGTGTGTGTGTGTGTGAATGTGTGTGTGAGAGAGTGTGTGTGAGTGTGGCAGAGGCACAGCAGGGCTGGGAGGACTGAGTCTATCCCAGGGTGCCTGTTTGGTCAGGAAGGGGGCAGGGCTTGAGGGAGGCCCTGTGGGAAGAGTCCTCTGGCCTGCCTCTGGATTTGGGGCCTAAGTTTGTGTCTTCTTTCTCCAGCCTCCCTCACAGCCCTTCTTGGAGACAGAGCAGCTCCGCCTGGAGAAGCAGCTGGAAGGGCTGCGGGCAAGGCTGGGCCTGGGCACCAAGGAAGACATGACTCCAAAGCTGAACTATGGAGTCCAGGAAGAGGGTAGGGACCCAGGGAACAGGCAGGTGGGCCAGGGACTTGATTGAGGGTCATGGTATCCTCTTCCCTTCAAACCAAGCGCCCTTTAACCAGCAGGAAGCGGGGCGCCTGAGGAGGCCGTATCTAAGCAGGCTCTGCCCCACCACCCAGACACATCTTTCCAGGGGAGAGTCTTGGAGGCAGAAGCCACACGTTTCTGCCCCTCCAAGGCGGCTTCAAAAGACAGGATCTGTTGCCCACCCCAGCAGCCTGCCTGTCCCCACTCTGCCCCAATCCCCAGGGGAACAAAGCTTCGGCCTGGAGGAGAAACTGCACAGACACAGGCAGATCCTGCAGACCCTCCAGGGTCTCTCCAAGCACTTGGCACAGGCTGAGCAGCAATGGAAACAGCAGCTGGGGTCCCCAGGCCAGATCAGGCCTGAGGGAGGATGGGTGAGTGGCCCTTTGAGCACCCAAGGGTCTGCCTGCAGGCCCGGAGAAGCCAAACTCCATAGGCTGATCTGATAGCACCAGTCAGCTCTCTCTGTCCAGAAAGAGGGGCAAGCACTCTATCCGGGAACTCGTCTCCCCCAGGGTCTGGAGAGATAGGAGTGTGTGCATGCGTGCCTAGTTGCTTCAGTCGTGTCCAACTCTTTGTGGCCCATGGACTGTATCCCACCAGGCTCCTCTGTCCATGGGGCAAGAATACTTGAGTGGGTTGCCATGCCCTTCTCTAGATCTTCCCACCCCAGGTATTGAACTCCCATGTCTACTGTCTTTTGCATTGGCAGGCGTGTTCTTTACCAGTAGCGCCACCTGGGGAGCCCTGGAGGGAAAGGAGGGCAGGGGTGAAATGCTGCAGGTGGCAGAGTGGCGTGGATCTGCCAGGTGGGGGAGCGAGGTGGGGGTTGGGGGGGCTTGGCACAAGCAAAGGCCCACAGAGCCCATGGCTGGGGCTGGGGAAAGGAGTTGCCAGGTATTTAGACGCGGATCTCTAGACAAGTGACAAAAATAGACCGGGTGCTTATTTGCATGTAGCTCCACATGTGATCTGATTCACATACGCTTGCTTAATGCTCAGATGCACCAGAATCCTTGTTTCCCCTCCACTGCTATCCTGGCTTCTCCCCTGGGGAGTCACGTCCCATGGCAGACCCAGCCTGGGGCCTGAGAGCTGAGCTCAGTCAAGATGTTAGATGCCGGGCAGAAGGGGCCAGTGGCTCCTGTGAGCTTTGCTGGGCTCTGTCAGCTTGAGGTTTGAATCATGTCCTCAGGACAGAGCAGCAGAGCCTGGGCTGATGGAATAGGGCAGAGGGGAGGGACCAGGTCCTCCAAGGCCACGTCTCCCTGATCCTACTGCCAGGCCCAGGATTCCCCCTGCCAGGCTCCACCCACCCCTGAGAGAGGTGGCTACCTCTCCAGGTCACTGGGCAAGAAGGCAGCGTGGGGGGGGGGGGGTTGGGGGGGGGGGGGGGGGGGGGGGGGGGGGGGGGGGGGGGGGGGTGGGGGGGGGGAGGGGGAGGGAGGGGGAAAGGGGACTTCTCAGGGAGAAGGGTTTGGGAGGAGGGGAAAATCAGAAGCCCAGATGCAAAGGGTCAGATAAACCTAGCGTATCCAAAATGAGGGCCCAGGTAACGGAGTGAGGCCTCTAGAAGGAAGAGGGCTGCAAATCCCCGGGGAAGGTGAACTCTGAGAAGAGGGGCCCTGGGCCCTAAAGAAGAGGCTGGTATTCCTGCAGGACTCAGCCAAGGTCAGTGCCCTACTCCGTGGACAGCAAAACCTGCTGCAAAACCTGCAAGAGATGAGGTAAGGGCACCAGGAGAGGAGGATCCTGGGGGAGAGGGAAGAGGAGTCCCCACCCACCAACTTGCTTCTCTGTCTGAAGACTCCCCATCAGTCCTTTAATACTTTCATCATCTCCTGAGCAGCAAGCACAAAGCCTGGAAAACAGGGAGGGGCTAGGGGCAGAGTTAGATTTGTTGAATTGAGTTGAATTTAACTGAATCAAGTCTAAAGTTTTGAGACTCCTGGTTTAAACACAACTCCCTGAGACAGTCTCACCCCAGGGAGGGTTAGTAAAATTGAGCCTTCCTTCAGTGATAGCTTCCAGAAGGAAGGGACATTTTGAGGGGGTTCTTAGAGGGAACACAACCAAAAGCAGGCCCAGTTGGGGGATGGGCAGCCCCTGACTTCATTTTACCCACCTCTGGCCCCTCAGCATCCCACTCTAGGCCTGGGCCTCTGGAGTTATCCATGGAGCCCTAGGGGCAGGGGGTCACCTTGATGCCATGGAAGGAGAGGCGCTTCAGCCTGTATGCTGTGGCTGCACCCCAACCCCAGCCCTCCTCCCTACATCTAGATACCCCGGGGCTGGGAACATGAGGAGGAAGAGGATTTAAATCCCTGGGGGCAGAGCCCAGGGAGCCTGGGGTTGGGATGGACAGCTTAAGGGAGATGCTTCTCTGAGCTAAAGTGTCTCAAGGAGAAGCTCTGGGTGGGGGGGAAGACCACAAGTCCCCAAAAGGGGCCTTATGGGTGGTGCCTGTTCCTCACCCAGGTGCTGCCTTTGAGGATTATGGGAAATGCATAATTAGGTACTTTGGGTGCAATCAGAAGGGATAATGGGTTCTCTCCCTTGGTTTCCACTCTGTACCAGGGATGCAGCTGCTCACATGGCCTCAAGGGCCCAGGTCTTCTACCTGCCCGTGGGCACCAAGCATCATTTCTCAGAGCTGGCCCAGATCCTGAGCCTCCTGCAGAAGGACCTGCGGGGCCCAGCGGTGAGAGGAACAGCAGCGAGGACCACAGGGCTCAGCCCCCTTCTTCTAGCACTTCCACAGCCCCAGGCCCCTCCTGCCTTTGCCCTTCCCCGCTGGGACTCCTGTCAGGCACACCTGTGTCCGTCGTGTCTGTGTGTGCATGCACACAGGCATGCAGGCACATGGATCGCATCTACTCTCTGCCTTCTCTGCTCTCTGGAGAGTTCCACAGACTGTCAGTACCAGAAGGGCCCTGGAGATCACTTGGTCCAACTCCCACAATGACCAGAAGATAAATGGGAATGGTCTGTGCCCAAGATCATTCAAAGCTTAGTGGTGAAGTCCACTCTTTCCTGTGCCCTACTCCATCTTGCTCGTTTCCTTGCCCTCTCCATCACCCTGTCTTTTGCTCTGTATTTCTCTCTCTCTCACTTATCTCTAGAGCCTTCAGCACCCTGAAAATCCCAGGCCCCAGGCCCTCCTGGCTGTTCCCACAAATAGGGACATAGGAGCTGGGGTGGAGAGGCAGCTTTGTACCCTGTCCCCTCTCCAAGTTCCCTGGATGAAAGCCAAGGTACCCCAACACTGAGAGAAGGAAACAAAGCCCCACAGTGGTCCAGATTCTAGGTCCCCTCCCTCCTTCTGAGTAAGAAGCTGATCTAAGATCTTAGAACATCTCTTTTCAGGGGTCTGATGAGCGTCGCAGCGCCATCCATTTTCAGGGCTAGTTGATTCGGCAGGTGAGTTGATAGAACATCTCTTTTCAGAGAGCAGCAGCCAAGGGCCCTCGCTCACCTGGCAGGTCCCCAAGGGTTTCCTCGTGCCTGCAGCCTGGCATCTTCCTGTTCTTCCTCCTCATCCAGACTGTAGGCTTCTTCTGCTATGTACACTTCAGGTGGGTGTTCCCATGTGCAGGAGTTCCCACACCTACCTGGCATCTCTTGGGTCTGGACCATAGAGATTCAGTTTGAGAGAGGGGATACTAAGGTTCCAGTGGGGAGATCCACATGGCCCACCAGCTGGCAAGGAGCAGTGCCCAAGTTAGGGCCCATTTTTTCCATAGAGATGCTGACTACCTGCTCAGCTGCTGGTCCCATCTGAGTCTTCTCACAGAATTCATTCTCTAATGTGATAAATGGACAAGTAACTAACAGTCACGTCCTTTGTGATCAGTGCCATGACAGCAGGAAGCTCAGGGGCCTAAGAAGTGCTGGAAAAAGCACTAGAGCCAGCTTGGGGAGATCAGGGAATCACCTGGAAGGGATATTTGATATGGATCATCAAGGCAACTAGGAGTGTTTCAAGCCCAACAAGATAAGTAAAAGCATTGATGTAGAGGAAACATCATGAGAAAAGACATGGAAGCATGAAAAAAAAATGTATATATATATATATATATATAGGATAAAAAGTGGCAAGTTCAGTACTGCTAGAGCAAAATGTTTGTGAAACTGGGCAAAGAGAATTTAAAAGTTTGGGGGCATGTCACAGTTTCTGCTTGATGAATGTTTGTAAACGAGTAAGACATTTAGAGATGCAAGATGTGCTAAGGAGCTCAGAAATGGGGCAGTCCTTGTCGGTGGTATTTCAAGACAAAAGGAATCAGTGTGGGCTGTGATGGTCCTGGAGGAGGAGTGAAATATGCTGCGTTTTAAAAGCAGAGTGGGAGAGGAGGTGGCCTGCAGGTGCTGAGAACAGCAAAGGTATGAGGGTGGAAATGATGACAGGCTTATGTTACATAGGAGTGCAATGGTAGTCATAAGGCTGGAGCCACCTGGACGGAATTTGAATGCCAGGAAGAAAGTGTGGTACTGATGGAGCAGACCAAGGCTGCCACAGAGGTTCTCAGAGCAGGGGGTGCTGTGGTCCAGTGAGTGTAGGGTGGTGGGTGCAGTAAATATAAAGAGCCTGGTGTCAAGAACCCAGAAGGGAGAAGCCCAAGTGACCTTCTTCTCTCCCTGGCAGCAAGCAGAAGCTGGACAAGGGCCTTCAGGACTATTTGTCCACATGCAGCCTTCCTCTGAGTTCTACACCACAAATCCCTAGGGCCCTCGGGGCTCTGCGGAGGCAGCCCTTCTCCCCCAGCATACAGGCGTGACCTACTTCGAAGCCCTGATGAAATGTCCACTTCCCATCACTAGGAAGTCAACATGTACCTGGGGGTAGAGGGCTTGGCCGGTGTCTTCCGCCTCTGGGTGCCCAGCGCCTACCCACACCTTAGCTTTTGGGGACATCCACGCTTATTAAAGGCAATTTCCCTCTCCCCATGCTTTGATATGCTCATTTACCTTCCAGCATCACCTTAATCTCTGAAGGCTTCAACTTCTTCCAGATGGTCACTGGGAGTGGGCTCCAAGCAGGCAAGGAGGTCCACGGCTGACTTGACTGCCAAAAAACCAGATACCCCTGGTTTTAGGCCTTAACTCAGGACTATGGTGCGAGATGGCGTCACAGCTGTGTTTAATAATTCTGTCCCCAAATTCACCCAGAACAAGGAAGGGTGCCTCCAAGTGCCCTTCCTGGTCCAGCCCAGCCAGCATCACCATGAACAACTCTCTCCCTACTCCCTGTAGCTCCAGGGGTCAGCAGGGCAGGCGCGTGACCGAGAACTCTAAGAGGCAACCCATGGAGCCATAATTGGGATTCCCCACTCTCTGGTCTCCCTCCCTTTCTCAGCGTCAAGCTCTTTGGGCAGCTGCTGGGGCGGCGGGTTGGGAAGAAGGTTGGGGTAGAGCCCAGGGCTACTCGCACCTCCCAGCTGAAATCCTGGTTATCAGCCATTTGGGGGAGAAGGAAGTAGGGGGAGAAGGGTTCTGGGGCACATAAAGGCACAACGCATTCCCCTGGGGAGCGACCCTCCCCCCTCTTAACGGCAGCCCCAATCCGTTGTCAGCAGTGCCCAGCGGAGCTTGGCATGGAAGGAGGCACGTTGGGGAGGCGGGAGTGAGGAGCGGGCACGTGGTCCAGTCTGCTCAGCCCCGTGCATGCCCCCCGCCCCCTGTGAGGAGGGGTTTGGGGCTATGGAGGCGGGCCCGGGCAGGGGCGGGCGGTGGGCGGTGCAGAGCGTGGGGCGCCTGCCTGCGGCGGGAGCTGTCCCTGAGACCTAGTGCTGAAGTAGGAGCGGACGTGCCTGGGTGCCCGCCGCGTGGTAACCGGCGCGCGGTGCCCAGGTCAGCGAAGACCATGGCGTTCATGGTGAAGACCATGGTGGGCGGCCAGCTGAAGAACCTCACTGGGAGCCTGGGGGGCGGCGAGGACAAGGGGGAAGGGGACAAGTCGGCCGCCGAAGCGCAGGGCATGAGCCGAGAGGAGTATGAGGAGTATCAGAAGCAACTGGTGGAAGAGAAGTGAGTGGCATCCCTTCCTGCCTCCAACGGCCCTCCCCACTCCCCAAGAGCCGCCCTGCCCACCCTTAGGGCAGTCTCAGACCCCGAGCTCCTCCCCTACTTTTCCAGACGAGGTAAGGGCCGGGCGGCGACCTCTAGGCTGCCCCCAGAGCCACCCCATCTCCAACCTAGAACCCCGCTCCACTTTTACATTCGGGCCCTGAGGGAGTGGGGGCAGGGGCGACAGGGGCCTGAGACGAGGTGGGGGCACGTGCATTTCTGACGAAACAAGTAATCCCTTAATCCGATCTGGTCTCAGCCGTCTGTGTCTTCCAACTGGAGCTCTTCTGAGCCTGAGGCTCCGAGAAAAGCGCTGCAGCTGAGGGAGAATCAGTTATAGAGACAGATCCTGAGATGAGGGCACTCTTGTGTGAGGACAGTGCTGGGACAGAGAGGTACCTGGAGTGCCGTTAGGGGCTCAACTCCAGACTAGGCTGCTTGGGTCAGATCCTGGCTTCGCTTCTTTTTTGCTGGGTGACCCTAGGCAAGTTACTTAACCTTTCTGTGCCTCAGTTTCTTCTTCTGTAAAATGTGGGTGGTGATAAAACATGCCGTATGTTTATGAGGGTTAATACTTAATGCACATAAACCGCTTAGCAAGACACCTGGCACATGGCAAACCATTAGATGTTAGCTATTATTTCACTTAATCACGATAACAGTTTTGTGAGCGGCAAAATCTTATCCTCATTTTACAAAACAGGAAAGTAAATGATTTACTCAAAGACAAAAAGTGGTGGTGGAGCCAGGATGCGAACCCGTGTCTGTTCCAAATACTTTTCCCCACACTGATACAACCTGTCAGGAAAAGAAAAGACAGACCGAGTCAGAGGCCACCCATGTCAGGGTCCGGAGAGCCAGACAGACGTGCCCCGATAGCTGCGTCGGGCGACGTGTGCCGAGGCAATAAAGGGCACTGTGATACCCGGGAAAGGCGGCGAAGATTAATCTTGGCCGGTCAGAGCACCCAACAAACCGGCCCGCGGCCGGCGGGGGCGGGAGCCAAGTAAACTTCGGCTAGGACAGAGAGACCCTTCCCGCCCCTTCCTCGCAGGCCCCGCCCATTTTCTCAGCCCCGGCGGTGATTCCGCCCCCGGTGCCCCCACAGGATGGAGCGGGACGCGCAGTTCACGCAGAGGAAGGCAGAGCGGGCCACGCTGCGGAGCCACTTCCGAGACAAATACCGGCTGCCCAAGGTAAGCTTAGGACCCTGGGCTGCAAGACACATCCGGGACCATGAGCTGTGGGCTCCGGACCCCTTTGCCCTACTGCTGGCTCTGCAACTCTCAGGGAGTGTTTGATTAAGTTAACGATTCTCTCACTCTTTCATTCATTCGCGGTTAATTAGTGCCTGCCAAGGGCCAGGGCTTGACGCTGAGAGGTAGCCTAGCAGATGGATTTGTGTTTCTGGAGTCAATCCAGGCCCCTTCTCTCCTCCAACCCTGACTCACCCAACGCAGAGTCAGGGCTAGGCAGATGAAGAGTTGGAAGGCAGTAGATTCTACCTCAGGGGTAAAATCTCTTGGCGCTTCTGAACACCCAGGGAGGGAGGTGGACAGAGAGAAGGCAGCACTTTCTGTGTGCTTGATCTTCATGCCCTTACCTAACCGTTCAGTAATTCTGCCAGGTAGCTACTACCCACATCTACAGATAAAGAAACTGAGGCTCAGAGAGATTAAGGGACTTGGCTATGGTCATACACAGCCAGAGAGGGACAGGAGTGGGAAAAGAGATCAAGCCTGTACCTGCTGAGCCTGCACTTGCTCCCAGACCCCTGGTTGCCTTCCAAAGTATGAAGTCTGTCTGCAGAGAGTAAACTCCCCCTTGACTGCCCAAGTAGCTAGGAGGATGTCTCCTCTAGGCTCTGCAGCATCAGATGACCATGTAAGAGTTCTGCTCCTGTTGCCTAAGGAGGGAACTGAGGCACAAGCCACTCCCCCTGCCCAGAAGCTAGACTCTGAGGAGAAAGGGAAGCACAGGCCACAGTACACCTGAACTTGATCTTCCACTTGAATTGGAGGATCAGATATGTGGACATCATATTCACTCATTCCGTACATGTTTATTGAGCCCCTGGCTGCCTCTGATTTCCCACAGGGCATTAGTCTTTTCAAAATCTCTCAAAGGGAGAGTCAGACTCAGCTAGGAATGGATCATTCCTCAAATGCTTGCACTAAGCATATAAGAGACACAACTCTGCCATCAGAGAACTCTGGGTCCTCTAGGAGAGAGAAGACTTGGCTGTAACCGAGTAGGACATAAAGTGGAAAGCCAAAGAGCCCCCAAAGGGACAGGGAAGTGCAATGACCATCAGTAGGTAGGTGCTGTGCAAAGAGGACACAGATGTTGAAATGAGGGACATAGGTTTACATTTAGCTCCCCCACTTCCTAGAGGTGTGACTTTGGGGAAATTACTGAAGTTATCTGAGTCTCAATTTCCTTATTTGTAAAATGGAGAAAATAATACGTACCTCACAGGGTGGTTGTGAGCATTAAAAGCACTCAGCTCAGTGTCACCCATGTGATAGGTGTTGGATGAATGGAATCCATCACTGTGATGGGTAACATTCTTCAGTGTAGTTAATGACAGTCAACACACAACTTAGCTGACTCAGTCTGACTCCGAAGTATTTTTATGTTGTCATTACTCACTGCGCTAGTGTCTTACTTTCAGTATCTCAGGGTGAAGTAAGGTGGTGTGAAAGGGCAAGGTCTCTATATCTAAGCGTCAAAAGCTTGATCCCGGCATGGAGAAGGGGGGCTGAGTTCACTGGAACCTGGAGTTCCAGAATCTTGGGGCCTGGAACGCAGTCCAGGCTCCTCCTTGCCCTTCAACTCTGAGTCCCCACAGACCTCCAAGCCCACCGCACCCCTTTCCCTCTTCCCTTCAGAACGAAACAGATGAGAGCCAGATCCAGATGGCAGGTGGAGATGTGGAGCTGCCCCGGGAGCTGGCCAAGATGATTGAGGAGGACACAGAGGAGGAGGAGGAGAGGGCCTCGGTCCTTGGGCAGCTGGCCAGCCTCCCTGGCTTGGACCTCGGCTCACTCAAGGACAAGGCCCAGAGCACACTGGGGGATCTCAAGCAATCAGCTGAGAAGTGCCACATCATGTGACTACTTCCCCTGGGGTTACCCATGGGGGTGACCAGAGGGCTGGGCCCGCACAAGTGCTGAGAGCGTGACTCAGCTTCCAGGGACCCATATCCCATCTTGGCTTTGTCTCCCTGCCCCAGGCCAGCCCCAGGACCCTTCTCATCCAGGGCTCCAGTCTGCCTTCCGCTCTCGCCGTCTCCACTGGGAGCAAAGTTCCCATTCCTCACCCTACCCCTCAGGACCCACCATCCCTACTCAGCCTGGGAAGGCCTCCCAGAATTGTAGGAATAGACCTGACCTTCTCTGACCATGCCCCCAGGTTCCTGCACACAGGAGAACCCAAAGAGGGACACACAGACGGACACAGAGATCCTGGTGTGTGCAGAGGGGTATGTCACACATGCATCCTGGCACACACAGACACAAACATGGGCCAGCTCCCCTGGGTGCCTAGCTCCTCTAGACACCAACACTCAGATATGCTCAGGGGAGCTTTAAGCAGACACTCACAACAGACAGGAGGCCTGAGTTCAAGTCCCCACATTTATTCTCCTTAAAACCCACCATGCTTTCTGGGCCTCAATTCATCATCTGTAAAACTGGAATGGGCTGGGTGATTTCTAAGACTTCCTAGCTTGGCCTCCCTGACCCTTGAGAGTCAGCCCCACACCTCTCCTTGGGTAGAGCAGCAGCTGCAGCCAGAGTCTCAAGCGGCTGCCACTGTGGGCTCTGGCTCTTGGAAGCTGATGATGCTATGTGAGGGGCTCAGTGCCAAGGATGC